AGATTTATTTTTTAAGGAATTGGCTCACATAATGAGGGGGCTGGCAAGTCTGAAATCTGTAGGGCAAGCCAGCAAGCTGGAAACCCAGGCAGGGTTTCTATGTTGCAGTCTTCAGGCCGAATTTCTTCTTGTTGGGGAAACCTGTCTTTTTTCCTAAGGCCTTCAAATGACTGGGTGAAGCTCATCATATTATGAAGGGCCATCTGCTTTACTGAAAGTCTAGTGATTTAAATGTTAATCACATCTAAAGAATACTTTCACAGCAATACCTATACTATTTGACCAAACAACTGGGCACCATCATCTAGCCGAGTTGACATATGAGATTTACTATTCCCTCTTCCAAAAAAAAAAAAAAAAATTCACCATCCCATTATCCTTCCACACGTCTTACCTCAGCTGATCTCTGTCTTTTGCTTGGCATGTGATTGATTTCTGCCTATTGCTTTTACTCATTTCATTTGACTCAGACTTCAAACAGTGCATTTTGGCCCATCCAAGCATCCTCCCTCCTGACTTGCTGTGTAAGGAATATATTTCAACTCCTTACTGTTAGGGGTGACTTTGAGGTGATTTGACTTTTCGTTTCTTCTTTCAGTCTTACCTAAACTGGAAGTCAGCAAAGTGCTTAAGTTTAGGGGGAAGAGTAGACATCTACCTTTCTTTTTACCTTTGCCACTGCTCTCTAAAGAGACAGGAGAGGGCGCCTGGGTGGCTCAGTTGGTTAAGCGACTGCCTTCGGCTCAGGTCATGATCCTGGAGTCCCTGGATCGAGTCCCGCATCGGACTCCCTGCTTGGCAGGGAGCCTGCTTCTCCCTCTGACCCTCTCCCCTCTCATGTGCTCTCTGTCTCTCTCATTCTCTCTGTCTCAAATAAATAAATAAAATCTTTAAAAAAAAAAAAAAAGAGACAGGAGAAAGCAGTGGGACAGGACTCAGAAAATCAACCTGCTATAAAGAGAAGAGAACTATAAGCAAGGTGGAACATGATGCCATGATGTCCTGGATTCAAATATAACACAACCTCAGAGAAGAGTGGAAAAAGAAAGAACAACAATTAGGAAAAAAAAAATCTGAAAGCTGTTTAGAGATTGAGATAGTTGGGCCAATCTCAACTGTCTCACACTATCTCAGTTAGTTCCAGCTAATTCAGGTGCCTACAAACTTTAGCTCTTTAAAAAAAAATTGAAAAGCCTTTATATACATTTGATTTCAAAAGCAATGCATATGCATTGAAGAAAATTTGGAAAATATAGAAAAGCATAAAGGAGAAACATAAAATTGTCCATACTTCCAAAGATAACCTAGAGAAAACCATGGTACCCCTCTTGGTTTACACACTTCTAGATCATATTTGAATATATTTGAATATGTTTGCATATATTAACTAATGTTTAAAACATTGAATTATACTTTTGTTTTCTTCCTAGGATTTTCAGCTCCGCTTACATTGCCCACCTGTTCTTGCATGTTGTCTACTTTATCCATTGGAACCCTTCACATGTTCATCATAGTTGTTTTAAATCCCCTGGTCTGGTAATTCCAATCCCTGCCCTATCTGGTTCTGATGCTTGCTCTGTCTCCTCAAACTGATTTTGCCTTTTGGTGTGCCTTGTAATTTTCTCTCGCTAGATGGACATGATGCACTGGGTGAAAGGAACTGCTGTAAATAGGCCTTTAGGGATGTGGTGATGAGGTGTTTGGGGAAGGGAAGCATTCTGTAGTCCTGTGATTAGGTCTCAGTCCTTTATTGAGCCTATGCCTCTGGACTGTGAACTTCATAGGTGTTTTTTTCTCTCTCTCAGGTGGGACAGGAGGGCTGTTGCTGCCTGGATTTGGGCATTGTCCTTCCCCCAGGTCAATTACACTCTGACAGTAAATACCCAGGTTTCCCTTGATGTCAGGCCTTTTTAAGAAGGGAGTGCTCTGGCGTATTTCAAAATGGTTCCTTGTCTGCTTCCCCAGCTGGAAGCAAGAGGGGATTTTTCTCCTGTGTTTATCCTAGGAATCTGGTCGAGCTCCTGGAGGTAAGCCTCACAATATTGGGGAGGCCTCCTTAGGACTGGGTCCTTGGAGTTTTTAACTCTCAGGCTTGTTTGCACTGAGCCTCCAGCAACTCCTCAATTACAGTTCAAGTTTTCCTTCCCTGGCACTGGCTCTCACAGTGGTTTTTACTCCTTAGTCCCAGCTCTGGTAAGTCAAGATTTCCCGTATTCCTCTGTCTCTTCAGTCTCAAGGACAGCAGTTTGCTCTGTGTCCTCTCCTCTCTCTCGGGTCCAAGAAGAGTTGTTCATTTTTCAGTCTGTGCGGCTTTTGACTTGCTGTTAGGACAGAGTGGCTACTTCCAAGCTCCTCACGTGTGGAATTGGAAACCAGAGGTCGAATTATAGTTGAGCTACTTAGGCTTGTCTACATCTGGTGTAGCTGTGCGGCTGCGCAGTTTCTCGCCTCGCTCTCCCTGTCTTGCCCTCGCCAGTGTGGTAGCGGGCCGAGTGCTTGTTGAGGCCGGCGAGGCTTCTGTTGGCTGCCTGCCCAGGTTCTCATCGGTGGTGCTCTTCTGACTGCACCCATTCTGTCTGGGGCATGGCACCCCTGTCCCCTGCTGCTCACTGGGGACTGGCGAATTTCTAAATCCAGTGTAGACCTCCGGCTTGAGCTTCACATCTGTGTTCTCATTATACCATGGCACATCATCACCTCGGTGTTCCAGTCACTTCAAACGCAGCATTTCCAAACTCTTATTTTCAGACTCTGCGGAGTGCATTTTCTCCACCCAGCAGATCCACAGTGACCATTGCACTTGCTATCTCGGTGACTACGCCACTATCCGTTCAGTTACCTGAGCCAGAAACTGGGGGGCGGGATCTGAGTCTCTTCCTCCTTTCCCATTCTTTACCCCCAGTCATCTTCACGGTTTGTCTCTAAAGTGACCTCTCCTTTCCATTCTCACCTCCCTGGTCTGCCTTCAGATCCTTAATCATCTTTGCTTGGACAGTTTCACTGCTGTTCTTAGCAATCTGCCTCCCTCCAGTCCCCACCTGGCCGCCAGTGTGACCGTTCTAAAAGGCACAACTCATGGCAGCTTATACAAAAGACTCTGAGATCTGTCCTCTACCTACCTACCTGACCTCATTCAATTTATTTACCAATATTGAATCGCTAGATGTTTTCCCTAAGCCTCTGCTTTTTCCCCATCTCTCGTCCTTTGCACATGCCATTTGGATCTCTCTCATCCGATTCCCTGGTAAGCTCCACTTTTGCCTTCAGAAGTTTCCTCTAGAAAGCTCTTCCTGACTCTCCAAGCAGACTCAGGCACTAGGTTTCACTGCTCAGATTTTATACCTTTTACATAGTGCAGGCTGCAGTGTCGTCTCCCCACCCACATCTCTGCCCCAGACAGCTTCTGGAAGGCCACGGATATTTAAGTCATCTGTGCATCCCAAGCTCCTCATATCGTGTCTGTCTGTACTTATGAAGTGGATGTTGTTGAGTGAACTTACCCTTCACTCTCTCACCAAGACAATGTCCCACTGCCTCAGAAAGGGGATTTCCTTATTTCCCTTTAATGATGTTTGGTTGGTCAGATTTTTTTCTTAAAACAGCGAGAAACTCTCACTTGAAAAAGTCCTCTACTCATCAAGGCACCTGCAGATTTAGGTCTCTACGACACGGGGCTGAGCTAATTAAGCACTAACTTTTAGCTGTATTGTCAGCTGCTGTGAATTTTTTTTTTCTTTTTTTAACAAACGCTTTAGGACTATGAATTGAAGTTTTGAATAATTCCAGGTTGGTCAATATGAACAATTAAATCAACTCTCTCTAATGAGACTGAGTGAACATCAGTCTTCAGGAGCGAAGAATAAAGGAAGTGGTGAAGAGAAATCTATTAAAATAGAACTTTTCCCGGGCGCCTGGGTGGCTCAGTCGGTTAAGCGGCTGTCTTCGGCTCAGGTCATGATCCCAGGGTCCTGGGATCGAGTCCCGCATCGGGCTCCCCGCTCTGCAGGGAGCCTGCTTCTCCCTCTCCCTCTCCCTCTGCCTACTTGTGTTCTCTCTCTATCTCTCTGTCAAATAAATAAATAAGATCTTTAAAAAAAAAAATAGAACTTTTCCCATATTTAAAAAAATAGCATATATCTTTTAAAAATAATTCTCTGCCCTTTTGAGTGCAGGCCAGGGATGTTTAGCTGTCCAGAAGCCTGTCCACTTAGTATTTTTTTTGAAGTTAAA